ATATCTGGTTACCACCGGGCGCTCATGGACGGTGGTGACTGTGCTGTCGTCGAAGAGCCGCCAGCCTGAGCGGAGAGAAGGGTTAAGCAAGCAGACAGGCCACAGCTTGCAGGAGTCGGGGGGCTGGCGAGGGTGGCAGATCCTCACCCACGTCGCTGCGCTGGCTGTTCTTGTCGTTGGGCAGGCGGGCGTATGAATGCCTCCGTAGTGGTTGATCACAGCGTACAGGTCATACATCGGCAGCTGCTGCTCGCCCTTCCGGCCGATGCAGAACTTGCTGAGGTCCAGACTCCTGGGGAGAGACATGGGGACAGTCAGGGACGGTCAGCGTTAGGCAGGGAGAGGCCGGGCTGCAGGGCAGCATAGACAGTGCCAACTCAGGCACTTCGTCCCCCAGGCTCTCACCGGACGGGGAAGTCCACCATGTCATTGATCTTGTCTCTCCAAATAAAGCTGCGGAAGGAGAAGCGCTTGAGCTGGATGATGAGGACGTTGGGCAGCCGCCACAGCATCAGCTGCTTGGAGGCCTCACGGTGCTGCTTGCACTTGGGGCAGTACCTGGGGGAAGAGCATGCTCATTACCGGCATGGGGAGAGCCTCAGGTCTCGCAGCCCAGCCCAGCCCCAAGGTCCCCCACATGTGGGGCTGGCAGAGGGGATACAGGAGGTCTCAGCCTCCCCTGCCAGGGGCAGGCCAGCGCAGTCCTGCTGGCAAAAAATGGCCTCCCTCCCCAGCACACAGGGAAGGCCAGCCCAATGCTCTTGGCCACCAGAAGAAACAATGGGCAGGCCCGGGCAGCTCCTGGGAAACCCCCGCTGCTGCCTGGGCCCACGGGCTGGAACCCACTCTGCCGCCTTCCTCACCACGCTTCCTCTGGGGCCAGGACTTCGGGCTTGGTGAAAAGATTGAGGCATTGCTCCAGGGTGAAATGGCCAGCCCGTGCTGCTTCGCTGGCCGAGCCCGGGTCCTCCACGCACTCCAGCTCCTTGGACTCCACCAACACAAACTCCTTGAGGCGCTCATTGTTCTTCCACACCAGGGCGAGGGAGCAATCGTCTGTCAGCTCCAGGGGGGTGTCACCTGCGAAGGGACGCACATCTCACACACCTGCCCCACCAGGCTGGGCCAGGCCACTTTGTTGGGGCTAGGATCAGTCTTGCCCATCCTGGCTTGATATGGCGATCCCGCAGTGCTGCCAGGAAGGGACAAGTGCCCCACAGCCAAGTTCACGACCCCAGGGCAGCAGAGCTCCCCAACCAGCAAGGAGCAAAGCTGGCACAGCCCCTTTCGGCAGCGCCTACGTAACCAGCACTGGATGCGGGCATCCCATTCAGACAAGAGGTGACCCAGAGATCACAGACCCTCTGTGGATGCAGGAGGTTGAACGGAATTGGTCTATTTGATGAGGAGAGAGCAGGAACGTCATGCCAGAGAAGAGCTTCCAGGCAGCAGCTCTGTGCAGCAGAGCCCTGCCTTCCCCTTTGCCAGATGCAGTTTTCACTGTCCAGCCTGGGGCAACCATCACATCTGGGTTCACCTTGTGCCAGGCACCCTGGCCAGGCAGATCCACCACCCTGCCACAGGCCGCCAGGGATGAAGGTGGCACTTTCTGGGACTCTGGGCTCACCTTTATCTTCCAGCTTGTGCTCTCGGTTGGCAGAGTCGATCTTGTTTATGTAGAACTGCGTGGCGCGGGTACTCAGCGAGTCTGGAGTGTGTTGGTACCCAGGGATGGCAGCTGTGGAAAGGCAGGGACAGATCTTTGGTGGCACTGCCTGTCTGCCCTGCGTAGGGGCCAAGAATTTGCAGTGCCCCCACCCCCACCTCACATGCTACGGCCTTGCAGGGACACAACCACGTGCCCCGTGTCCTTGACTATTTTTAGCAGGCGCCTGCCCCTGGCAAGCTGCGCTCCTCTGCCTGCCTTGCCCCTTCGCTGCACATTGCTGCCATCCTGAGACGAGTGTCTGGAAACGTGACAGCCAGGCAGCAGAGCGCGAGAGGCTGCTCCCGTGCAGCTGAGTCAGAGCGAGGGAAACACTGCACTCACAGCCCCAAGGAGCTCAGCCCGTGCCGGGCTCTGCCCTCCCACGGGACTCGGAGGCTTCTGCCAGTCCCTGCCTTCCCACCCCTCCTCCCACAACAACACAACACTCCTGCCTCTTTCCTCGTCAAGTCTCTGCTCTGGGCAAGGCAGAGTGTGGGCAGGCAGGCATTTCAGGTGGGGCAGCACTGCCAAAACACAGTTTCCAGGGTCTCATATATGTCCCCCTGGGTCTCAGGGCCAAGCTCACACAGGGAGAACAGATGATGTGGTGGGAGGTCACCCCAAGGAGGGAGAATTGCTCCTGTTTTGTCTTGGGGCTGCCCAGACTCCTGGCACAGACACGGTCAGCATCACAGCACTCTTACCTTCTGGCTTGAGGGCTCTCTCATAGGACGGCTCTTTCTCACAACAGCTGTCACCTTGCGACTCCATGTGCTCGGAGAAGCCCGAATCCAAGCTCAGCAGGGAACTCCTGGCTGCCAGGACCTTGCTCCGGACAGTGCTGCTGTCCCCCAGCTCTGGGTGCAGCTCAGGCACAGCTGGTGAGAGCGGGGGCTCCTGCAGGAGGCTGGAAGCCCTGTCCCCGTCCCCCAGCTCAGGGGCAGAGGTGGCTGCTGCACAGCTGCTCTTGGCCAGTGATGGCCGCAGAGGCTGCAGCCCCTGCTCCGGCGACATCCGGCCCAGCTGGAACGGAGGCTGGAACACGCTCACTGAGTACCTGGGCAAGGAGGTGGCAGTCAGAGCTGGACAGGCTGAGCTCAGCTCCGGGGCAGAAGCACCCGCCCTTCCCTGGACCCTCACCTTGCGTAGCCCTCCAGCAGCTGGGCCAGGCGGGCGTAGGTGAGGCGGGTCGCCGGCACGCTGATGAGGAAGGGGAAACCGATGTTCTCTGGGCGGCACAAAGCCTTGTGGTCTGGCCAGTGTGTTTTCTGACACGCCCTGTAACACATACAGCCCCTACTGAACCCAGCATTCGTGACCACTCTGGGCAGGAGCATGGCAGGGCCAGAGGGGTGCGCTGGGGATGAGGGAAGCGCCGTGAGCCAGACTGGCTTCCTCCCAAAGGCCAGGCCCATCCCACCTCCCCCCAGTGGGCTAAGCTCTCCCATCCATCCCTTCAAGGAAGGAGACCCTCCCTCCCTGCCAGACACCAAGCCAACTCACACGTTGCAGTAACCGACTCGATAGCACCTCGTGCAGCGCCTGAGCTTCTCATCCTCCGGCAGCTGCTTCTTCTGGCAGGCCGCACACTTGGCGACAGGGCCGCTGGGCACCTGTGGACGCTGCAGGAGAAAGGACCCATTGGACAGGGAAGAACACCTGGGCAGGACAAGGCAGCCTCAGCAGGCACCTGCGCTTGCTGCAGCTATTCACCCTTGTGTGTGGCTCTCCCCCTCCTGCTCAGCCTCCCCACGTGCCTCCCAGCAGTGCCAATATCTCGTCTTACCTGCTGGACCTGCAGCTCCACCACCCGCTCCTTGGCCAGTTCTGGGGACAGCACCTCGAAGCAGAGCAGCAGGTCCGTGGGGGAGACTGTGTCCAGCGAGTTGGACGGCAGGAACATGCGGTGGAAGCGATTTTTGATCACCTGCCAGGAAAGCAGTGGAGCAGGGCTGTGTGAGGGCTGCCCCATGCTTCCTCTCTTGGGAAAGCCACAGACCTCAGCCCCACAGTGAGCTGCGGGGACAGCAGCACCACAGAGATGCTGGGCTCAGGTCACCACCCCGCCAAGGGAGGATGGACACTGTGGTGGCCAAGCCTTCCTGAGCAGGGATCTGCCCGGGAGCACCCTGTGCAGAACACTGGCACCCACAGACAAAATCCACCCCACGGACGTGTTGGATATGGGCAAGTGACTGCCAGTGGCCACATTCCCTATAGAGCTGCGGGAGCCGGGGCACCCCCAAGAGCAGCCCACAGCTTGCTCCCCAGCTTGAGCATTCTCACCTCTGCCAGGCGCAGGTTCTCTGGTTTCACACGCACGCTGTGGGCCACCGAGTCAAGTACCTCCATGGCACTGGAGTTCTCCTTGCTGATACTCACGAGAAACTGCCACCAAGAAAGTGCCACATCAGTCACACCATACCAACACGCGCCGGCCCTTGCTTAACACAAGGCTCAGTCCATTAGCACATGACCAGCTGCCCGGGGCACCTCCAGGAGCCCTCTTCAGCTATCTCCCCAGAGTAGATGGTGTCCTTTACCTTGATAGGTTTCTTGTGCGGCTCCTTTGCAAAGTAGTAGACAGTCAGCACCTTCTGCTTCTGCGGGAGGGGCACGGGGAGGTACAGGAAGGGGTCGAAGGTGATGGACACCTGCAGACACGAGAGCATACTCAGTTGCAGGATGTGCTTGTGGCTGAGATCAGTGGGGCAGCAGCCCCAGTGGACCTCAGATCCAGCCCTGCCCTGTGCCCTCTGAGGGTCAGGAGCCTGCTGCGCAGCCAGGACAGGGACAGAGCCTCCAGGGCTGCCCTACCTTGGAACACACTGGGCACACCAGCTTGGATTTGTACTGGCCCTGGAAGAGGTCCACAATGAAAGAGTCATTCCTCATCTTGTGTCGCTGCCAAGCCTCCTCAGCTACCACCTACAGGGAGAAAGGGCTCAGCACTAAGCTAAACCACACAGGCCAGGACTGCTCTCCCAGTGGCTTTGGGAAGGGACATCCTCACCTCATCGGGCCTCCCATCCGAGTCAACAGTCTCTGTGTAGGGCTTGTTCTGGATGCGGTTGAGGTCCTCGTGAAGGCCATCGAGCAGGAAGGCCATGAACTCCTGAGCATCGTGCTGGGCATAGCCAGTGAACTGGCTGGCCTTGCTGGCCACGATTGCCTGGGGGGAGCACAGTAGTCAGGACTGGCCTGCAGCCCCCCAGCAGCACCGCCTGTCCCATGCTCAAAGCCTGGCTGCACGCACCCACGCCCACCTAGCTCTCAGCGGCACTAGCAGGGCAGCCAGGTGCCCACAGAGAGGTGCTGGGGGCCCACAGCAGCTCCCATGCAGCGCTGGTGCCTGCAGCCCTACCTTCAGTTTAGAGGGCTGGAAGGCATGGTGCGTGCCTTTCCACAGCGCTCGCAGCAGCATGGCAAAGCCGATGGCCAGGCGTCCCCCCGTCCCCAGCGGGTTGTTGTAGTTGATTTCCGACTCAAAGGACCGATCTGTAAGACGCAGGAGAGCGAGGGTGGCTGCTGGCTGCACCGTCTCAGTGGCAGGGCTCTGCTGGGTTCCTGGCGTGTGCTCACCATGGAAGTAGTCACGCAGCTCCCGGGTGTTGGACAGGGACTGGATGACGCTGTTCATGAAGCAGGTGTTGCCCAGGTTCACCAGCCCAGTGAAGCCAGGCAGGCACACCTTCTTCTTCTCATCTTCATCTTCATCGTCCTCCACGCTCTCGGTGCTCACCGGGCTGTGTGTCATCGGTGGCACCATGCATGTTGGTTTGGGCTGCCAAAGCAGAGGCAGGTGTAAGGATGCTGTGCTCGGGGGGGGTCTTTCTGGAAACACCAGGGGAACCCGACTGCCCAAGACACCCCTCAGATGTGGCTGGGGCGGAGCCACCACGCTATCTCCCACCAGGACTGGGATAGACAGGCCAACCGCTGCCCCCAGTCCTGCCAGCTATGACTTGAGGAGCTCTGCCTCCTCCTCCAGGAATAGTTTGCCGGTTCCCAAAGCAACACTGAGGAGGTGGGGTCACATGAGAGGGACAAGTGGGCCCCTCTTTCCCCCTGCCCACGTCAAACCCGGTGCGGCCCCACTCACTGAGGGGATGTGTGGCTCTTGCTTCACTGCCACATGCTCTGGGGCCGTACGGGCTGCCACACCATCCAGACCCCCATCTTCCACACGCGGCTTCTCTTTGTCACTGGCTCGGGCCTCCTCCTTGCTGGACAGTGGGTGCTGGTTACTGCCCGGGGGATTCTTGTCCAGAGGGGTAGGGCCTGTAGGCATGGCAACCTTTGCACCACCCACTGCACCTTAAAAAGGGGGAAGGGTGGGCCTGTGGTTAGCAGCACCGCACGCTACCCATGGTGGGGCTGAGCTGCTCGGTCCATGCTCACACACAGGCTCTCTCCTACCCCTTTTCCCCATGAGCAAGGGGAACAGCGGTGCCCTTCCCCTAGCGCTTGGCTCACCCTGCCCCACACCCCTCCTGCCTGCACCCACTCAGCCCCTCTCCTTCCCAACCCCATGCCGGAGGACCCGGCACCATCCGGCTACTGCCAGCGGTGAGGAGGGCCCATGCCCCGCTAGGGTGCAGCAGGCAGCCAAGACAAGAAGGCAGGGTGCAGACCTCGTGTGGTCGGAGCCTCCAGCCCCCCCCAGCGCTGGCTCTGGCGTTTCTTCAGGCAGACGTCGATGCGAGACACCGTGAAGTTGTATGTGCACTGGTCTGGCTCAATAAGGTTCCTGCAAGACACACAGCAAGTCAGGGGTGCCCCAGACCTCCCAGCAGCCTCAGACATGCCAAAGCCTTTGCAAGGCAGGGCCATGGCCTCCAGGCAGTAGGGACCCGGCTAGCACTGATCCCGAGGCAGCCCTGGAAAAGCAGCGTGGAAACCCTTACTGAGCACACAGAGGGCCCCTTTCCTGGAGCCCCTGCTTGGCTCCACATGCCCCCTCCCACTGGACATCCTGCCCAAAGTGCACACAGGCTGGTCTGGCTCTGTCCCCAGGAGCTCTAGAACAGCTGGGGGAAGACGACAGGCAAGGAGACACTGGGATTTCCTCCCCTGCGAGCCACCAGACTGAGTCAAGGCAGCCCAGGCTTGGGGCATTAGTGCAGCATGGTATAAGGGAGATCCCCAGGTGCAGAAATGAGTGTGCCCTGCACAGACCCGCCAGCCGGGACTGGCTCCTGCTCCAGCTCTGCACTCTCAGCTCCCTTGCCCTGGTGCAGGCTGGAAGGACGGGAGCCGCACCTGAGCTTCACCTGCCACCGGAACACTGTGTGGGGCCCGCAGCCAGGATGGAGGCGAAGGAAGTTTGTGTCGCTGCAAAGAAATTGGAAGTGAGTGAGAAGAGGTGAACAAACAAATAGCCCAGCCACAGCCAGGAGCTCCGCAGCAGCCTGGAACCATCCCAAGGCATGCGTGTACCTCGTCTGGAACACCAGTGTGAAGTCCTGCTCCCGGAACAACACCTTGGATGTCTCCTTGTGAATCTCCTTCACATAGACGTGCACCACCACCAGGTCATTGCCCTTCTCATATGAGTCATTCTTGACAAAGGTCAGGCTCACAAAAGGCTCTGGCTCTGAGTGAGAAAAGCCGTGTAGAGAGATATTACCTTCCTTGCACGCTGAGCAACGCTGCAGGCTCACCCCAGAGAGGTCCTGAGCAGATAGGCCTTCCTGACCAGGCCGACCCCAGGCTCCAACCACTCACCATCAGCCGCTGCTTCCAAAGCCACGTCATCCTTGGACCAGTCCCTCTTCTCACCGTCTCTGCCCAGGGGAGGGGTGGCTGCTGGGACGGCCTTAGAGCTCTCTCCTACGACAGGCGTGCAGTCCCGGCCCCGCAAGGCCTCAGCAGGGCTGCCCGGCTGCAGGACTCTCTTCTCCACGCAGGTGGCAACATGGTGGGGGAACACCTCTGTGGTAGCCGCAAGAGGTGGCATCTCCACAGGAACAGACTCCTTGGCCAAAACCACAGCCTTTCAAGACAGAGAGACATGGTGAAAAACAGACAGTGTCACCCCCGAGCTGCCCTGGCCCACCCGCTGTGACTCCTGCCAGCCAGGCAGGCACAGCCCCATGCCACCCGCTTCCCTCACACGTCCCATGCTCAGCTCGGCCTTGTTAGCACTGGAGCAGACGCTCAGCCCAGCGACTGCGAGGTCCTCACGTCGCCCTCTCCTCCACCACAGCCAGGCCCATGCCAGCCCTCAGCACCACCCGCAGGACCCCGAAGCCCATCTCATTGGCAGGGATGGGTCCCTGTGCAAGCAGCATCCCCCGTGCAGGGTCCTTGGGTACCTTCTCCAGCGGCGGTGCGAGGTCCGCGAGGGCCGTGGGCGTATCGATCTGGCTGGCTCTGCCATTGCGGCGGCTGCCTGCCCTCCCGCTGTGCCCTTTGCTGGGCTCCACGCTCCCAGTGACTCTGGCATTTGGCTCTTCTTCAGTCGGAGCCACTTTGAGGTATACTGCCCGCTTGGCGCTGGGGCCGCTCTGTGTCCCTGGGCTGGCTGGGCTTTTCCCTCCCAGGGCCTCACTTCTTCCCGGAGCACGCTTGGGGTTGGAGGGCTCCCGCCGGGACCTCGGTGGCTCTGCACCTTCAGCCCTTGGCTCTTCAGGGGCCAGCTCTGCAGAAGCAGCCTTCTCCTTCCCATTCTCCCAGCACGCGGCCCCTTTGGGCAGCTCTTTGGATCCGTCTTTCCTTCTCTTCTGTGAAAAGCAGTGCAGCACAGTGGGAAGGCAGCAGCACCTCTCACGCTCTTTGCCAGCCCCACACCCTCACTCCCCCTTCCCAGAACGCGCTAGGGCTCTACTCCAGAACCTGGAGGCTATGTGGCAGGCAGGAACAGGGGTACGATGACACCCCCCTCCCTGGGACAGAGGCTGGCTCAGCTGGCTTACTGCCCTCAGGCAGCACATGGATGCAGGACGTGCCCCACATTGCTCCCTGAGCAGCTCAAGAGCAGGGAATGAAACCCTCACCCCAGCTCCCCCAGGCTCCATAAGCTCCCTCAAAAGGCAGATCCTCCCCTCCTCACCAGAAGTGAAGACCAGGTATACAGTGGGATCTTCTTCTGAAGCACAAGCTGTAGAAAGTTGCCCTTCTTGCACTGGACCTTGCTGCAGGAGCTCTCAATCTCCTCGTAGAACTGACAGCTCCACTGGCGCCCGTCTGCAAGCAGAGGGGGACCAGCACCTCAGGCAGCGCTCCAGGCAGCTGTCACCTAACCCACAGCCCCCTTTCACCTGCCCCAAGGATCAAGGGAGCCTCCAGAGCCAAGGAGGCTGCAGGCAGGCTGCCACCATACCCCAGGAGCCTTCAGGGTAATGCCTGCTTCCCTGGATTTGCTTTGTACATCTGGCTGGCCTCTTTCCCAGACGGAAGGCCCTGGGCCTCTCTGCTCTCAGGGACACAGTCACTTTTCCAAGGGATACCCAGGGCCGACTCAGTCATCCCACCAAGCAGGGGACAGAGGCGTACCAGCACAGCAGTGGGCACTTGTTCGCTTGGCGCAGAGGCCAGCTCCTGTCCTCCCCAGCTCTACACCCTTCTTCTTTTACACTGTTCTCGTATTGGCCCTGCCTGCTGGCTGAAGCTGTGCCAGCAGACAGCAAGGCATTGCCTCTGAAGGAAAGCTTTTACACCTACCTGGATCAGCCCCCACATCTAGCCCAGAGCTGCGCTAAGCCCTGCCAGAGAAATGCCTGCAGCAGTCGCTCCGTTCCCCGTACCTGGTAATTTGACCACGCAGTCCGTGTCGGTGAAAGCAGCATCCACATCCTCCACCTTCAGAGCTCCACTGCCCAAGTTCAGCTTGACAATGATCTCGTCAGCGTTCTGCTTCCAGTCCAGCAGCAGCTCTAGGAAGAGGGAGGGAAGCGTCACCCACTCGCTGGGGCATGAGCCTGCAGTGCCCACTCCTTGGCTGGGGAATGGGAGCCTGAACACATGTTCGGTTCAAGGAGGTCAACGCAGGGGACACAGATCATGCCAATTAAACGGGACACTTGCAACCTGCTCTCATCAGACAGGCCACAAACAAGAGCACATGTTGCAGCAGTGCAGGTGAATCCCGGTGGGAACCAGAGAGATCAGAAAGGCAGCGCTGCTCCTGGCCCCGTCACGTGCGGTGGCTGGGAAGAAGGGGTGGCTCCTGCCAACTACAAAGCAATTGCTGCTTTCCCAGGGAACGAGGAAGCCACAGAATTACTCTGGGGGATTCAAGTGGACTCTGACCACAATCAGAAGTTGCCACTTCCCCTTTGCATATGCAAACCAAGCAGCCCAGCTGCAATCACCAAAGCACTGTACTCCTGCCAGGTGAGCACTGCTAACACGGCTGAAACACAGGCAGGCCTGCCACCGGGCAAGAACGCTGCACCCAGGGAGAAAACAGTGCAGCAGCGTCACTCTGCTGCAGGCAGAACCTCCAGGTCTGGCCCTGTGGTGTCCTGAAATCTTCAAGCAAAAAGGTGATTCCAATCACCTTAATTTTAATCAGGTTTGGTCTACCCTCTGTGGCACAAGGATGTCCCACTCTGTCCTCAAAGCGGGCCCGGACCAAGGCAGAAACCAGCCAACAGTGCCCGCTGGGTGACACGACTTGGGATCTTCCCAGCCCAGCATGGCTACCTGCTCAGAAATAAGCAGGACAGATGCCGGCGGCAAGGCGTTCCAGGGCGGTGCTCAGTGGCACTGTGACATCCGAGTTGGAAGCAGCCTGCCACAGGCCCAGGGCCTCTTCCTTGCAGACAGCCCTTCCCAGCCACTTGCACCCTTCTCTGCCCCTCGGAAGGCCGCGTCCTGTTAAGGCAAACGCTGTGGCAAGGAGCGCTCAGGTTAGTTCTGCTCAGTGCCAAAGCATGGGACAACGACAAGGTGAGAGTTTCAGATCCCTTGGCAAGGGCACTCCATGGCCATGCACTGACAGCCGGTGCACACCTTGACTTACCCTCCTCTGAGTCCTTCTCCTGGGCAGTCTCAGCCTGCTCAAGCTCAGGGCGAGACACTAGTGGGCAGAGAAGCAGAGCACGGGCTGGTCTGTCATTCTGTCACCTCAGAGCATGGGCCGGCACGCTGATGCCCAAAATTTCACACATCACCTCCTTCTCCGCTGAACCTCTGTCCAGGCCTTTCATCCTGCATGTGCCACTCATTTCCCTCCTCTGCTTCCTCACACCTCTCCCTTCCCCGGAGCCCTGCCTGCAGCACCACAGCAAGTCAGCCCCCAGGACAGCTGCTCTGGGCCACACCACCTTATCCCAGTCTAACCAGCACCACAGTGGGAGCAACACAACATTACTGCACTGCGCAGACAGCACTGCTTTGAGGCATCTCTCAGTGTGGAGCTTGTGGTAACCGGGCTGTGTGCCCCTGCTCAGCACACCAGGCCCTCAGCCTCCAGCCATACCGAGGAGTCCTGCCTTGATCTGACAGGGAGAACCTGACGTTTGGGTGTGCTCCGATCAACTCTGCTGTAACGAGAGAACCACGCGGCCTAGCTGCACTTTAACATTCCCGTTCCTGTGCAAGCTGCCAATGTCCGTGGCCAAAACCTCCTTCCAGATCAGGCTGGGGAATCAAACCGACCTGACACCTAATCCCTGCTCCTCACAGGATTACCTCCGACAGCCAGAAGCATCAGGGCCTGTTCCACCCCCACAGGGAGATGAACTCTGCCAGGCAAGGGGTTCAAAGTGACAGCACCTTGTCCTGGAGCAGAGAACCAGGGGCAATGGGAGCTGTGGTCTCCACTCCGGAGCGCTCAGAGGGCTGTCACTGCCTCCCTTGACCTGCTACAAACCAGTAGAAAACCTCTGCTGATCACCGCAGTCACTGGTGCAAAGGTGCCAGTGGGTCTGGCAGTGTGAGAAGCGCCGCAGCGGACCTGCCTGGAGGATCTATAGCCCGCTCCGGCCCCTCACCACCCCTGCACAGAGAGGATGGAGGCAGCACGACCGCACCGCAGCCCCCGGGAAAGCAAGAGCCCCCTGCATCACAAGGTGCGGAGGGTCAGGCCTTACCGGAGAGATACAGCACACCTCTCACACAAGAGAAGGTGCAATGCTGCACTCTCTGCATCGTGGAGTTTCGCGTCGGGG